TCATTCTCCAATCTCTCACTGACACACCCACACAGAATAACTCCTCCCACACTCTGCCATCCACCAATCACGGCACACTAGTTACTATCAAACATTTAAAGGGACACACACTCTCTCAAACAAGGAATCTGTCTACTCAGACTGGCAGCAGCTCTCTCTCCAGGGTCTCAGGCAGAGGTCTTTCATGTCACCTCCTGCCTGGTCCTTTTAACTGGAGGTGCTGGGGATTGAACCTGGGACCTTCTGCAGGCCAAGCAGATGCTCTGCCACTGAGCCACAGCCCCTCTTTACAGCTCTCCAGGGTCTCAGGTGGAGGTCTTTCCCATCACCTCCTGCCTGGTCTTCTTCTAACTGGAGATGCTGCTGGGGACTGAACCTGGGACCTCCTGCATGCCAAGCAGAGGCTCTACCACTGAGCCACGGCCCCTCTTTACAGCTCTCCAGGGTCTCAGGCAGAGAAAGGTCTTTCACATCACCTACTTGCCTGGCCCTTTTTAACTGGAGATGCCGGGGATTGAACCTGGGACCTTCTCTGTGCCAAGCAGATGCTTTGCCACTGAGCCACGACCCCTCTTAACACCTCTCCAGGGTCTCAGGCAGAGGTCTTTCCCGTCACCTCTTGCCTGATCCTTCCAACTGGAGATGCCGGGGATTGAACCTGGGACCTCCTGCGTGCCAAGCAGAGGCTCTTCCACTGAGCCGCGGCCCCTCTTTGCAGCTCTCCAGGGTCTCAGGCGGAGGTCTTTCCCATCACCTCCTGCCTGGTCCTTTTAACTGGAGATGCCGGGGATTGAACCTGGGACCTTCTGCAGGCCAAGCAGAGGCTCTTCCACTGAGCCGCGGCCCCTCTTTGCAGCTCTCCAGGGTCTCAGGTGGAAGTCTTTCCCATCATCTCCTGCCTGGTCCTTTTAACTGGATGCCAGGGATTGAACCTGGGACCCCCTGCGTGCCAAGCAGAGGCTCTTCCACTGAGCCACAGCCCCTCCCATCTGCAACAAAGGCTCTTGACCCTGAGCAAGCCAGGAACTCCTCCGGGGCCTCTGCTGAAAAGCTGCCAGAGCAGACTTCCTTCTCGGTTGGTGCCCCAGGAAAGGCTGCCCTAGCTGCTAGACCCGGGGGCCCCTTTGCCTTTCTCTGCTCTCTGTGGCCCACTCCACACAACGTCTCTTTCTGTGGGAGGTAGAAGGAGGGTCAAGCAGGGCGGTGCACATTATTCCCTCCTCAGGCAGTGCACTGGTCAGCCAAATGCAAGCAGGGGCAGATTAAGGCTCACGGGCGCCCTGAGCACGGACCCATCTCGGTGCCCCCCTCCTTTCCACACTGGCCCCCAGTCCATTTTAGTGGTTGAACTGTCTGACCAGATAGACAATGCAGGTTGCAGCAATACAAAAATGTATTCATAGGCTAACACCATAGACTGTACAAACTAAGCCAAGCTTGGGCGACATAAAGTTCTACAAAAATGCAATACAACATCTATTTTAATATTTCACAAGTTAAATGTATCAAAGTTCCAATATATTCATGACCTGAAAGGCATTTCTCTACATTTCATTTTCGCAAAATCACTGATAACATCCTTGAAATTAATACCCTCTCAGAATGTCTGCTTCAATTGTTAATATACACAGTGAGTTGAGTCTTTCTTGAAGCATAACTGATCTATTTGGGCTTTTTACACGTTTCAATATTTTTTTTTTACAAATCTTCATTCGTTTTTCTTTTCTTTTCACCCTTTCCCCAACTTTGTGGTGCCCCCTTTGGCCCTGGTGCCCTAAGCACGTGCTTAGTCTGCTTAATGGTTAATCCGGCCCTGAATGCAAGGAGAGGGTGACCCCCGTGCCCAGGTTGCCCATCTGGCGCCCCAGGTAGGTCAGCCTGTCAAGCGCGACCCAACTGAAGCGACACTTCGCCGTGCGGAGGGGCTGCGCCCGCTTTGTGATTTCTGCACCCCTCCCCGCCTTCATCTTGACAAGGCTTCCGAAAACTCGCACAGTAATTTACAATGAAGACGTTGGAGCAGTGACATTTACGGCAGGCCTCAGACTCATTAAAACAGCCTCGTTGCCTCATTAATTCCATTTTTCAGAAATTATGTTCATATTTATGCACCGGCTCATGCGTTTCCCATTCTGCTTCTCCTCCAGCGCCGAGGGAAAGCGTCGCAGAGATGCCTCCCGATAAGCAGTCCCAGTGACCTAGAAGCAAAATAATTATTTTCCCCCCACCGCCGCTTCCCACTCGAGATAGATAAAACGAATGCGCTGGCATTTGTCATGCGAGCTTCATTATTCCAAACGGTGCTCACCTCCTGCTCTTAATGGCGCCGTAAATGAGCTTCATCGGTGGCGAGGCCCGGGACGGTGAAACGTGGCTGACAGTGAAATGTAGTCGCAGGCCCGGGCGTGGATCGCAGCAGCCGCGTCCAAAAGCCACCCTGGGTCTGGAGAGCAGTCACTCTCGCGTGGAGCCACATGATTGGAGCGGGAGAGATGCCACAAGGAAGCGAGATAAAAGCTCAAGCAGACATCAGACCCCCCTGGCCCGAGAGCAAAGCGCAAACGTCCGCTTAGGGACATGGGCCAGGCAAGCGCCAAAGTCTGTGTCTCCTTCCTTCCTTCCTTCCTTCCTTCCTTCCTTCCTTCCTTCCTTCCTTCAAATTTTTATACTCCCCCTCTCCTCATCGACCCATGAAGCCGCCTTATACTGAATCAGACCCTGACACAGATGGACCCTTGCTCCATCAAGGTCAGCACGGTCTACTCAGACTGGCAGCAGCTCTTCCGGTTCTCAGGCGGAGAAAGGTCTTTCGCATCACCTCCTGCCTGGTCCTTTTAGCCGCAGAAGTTGGGGATCGAACCTGGGACTTTCTGCATGCCAAGCAGAGGCTCTCCCACTGAGCCACACCCCCCCCCCCGGTTCAAGGAGGCTTATTTATTTATTAAATTTTTATCCCGCCCTCCCAGCCAGGGCTGGCTCAGGGCGGCTTACAACAATAAAATTCGCATAAAAGCATCCTAATAAAATCACATGCATTCATAAATACAACATTAAAAACGCAAACAAAATAAAGTGCCAGCGACAATCCTCTTTATCTCAATTGACTCGTTGGCCTTCTGCGGCTATCTCAGGTAACTGGCACAGGCTGTGTTTGAGGGACCGACGGGCCAGGGCTCCGCCAGGGTAGATATTAATTATTGGTGGTGGAGGTGTTAGTGGCAGCAGCTCCAAAAACCTGGCGGAAGAGCTCCGTCTTACAGGCTCTGCAGAACTGTGAAAGGTCCCGCAGAGCCCTAAGCTCTTCTCTTACAAAAACATTTCCAGTGACGACCAAAAGAAAAGAAAAAACTCAAATCTCTCCCTCCCGCCCGCCCTCAAAAGAAGCCTGCCGAGCGAAAGTGTGTCTCTGTGGCCCAGCTTCCCTTACTCTGAGCTCAAGAGAAGCTGCAGTCAAGATTCTGGTAGAATCGGTGCAGGTTCTTCATCCGCAAAACATTTTTATATTTGTTCATGTGCACTGACCTAAAAATGGTGTGAGGAGGAGGAGGAGGAGACTTTTTATACCCCGCCCTTCACAATGGAGTCTCAGAGCAGCTTCCAATCTCACCTTCCCTTCCCCTCCCCACAACAGACACCCTGGGAGGTAGGCGGGGCTGAGAGAGCTCTGAGAGAACTGTGACTGGCCCAAGGTCACCCAGCTGGCTGCATGAGGAGGAGTGGGGAATCGAACCCGGCTCTCCAGATTAGTGTCTGCCACTCTTAACCACTACACCAAACTGGGATGTGGGCAGCAAGAGGGGGTCAAAGATGGGCCCATGAGGGTTGCTGCTCGTGAGGCACGGTGGTGCGGCGCACATAAACAGTGGAAATGAAAAGGATGTGCCCCTTGCCCGGGCTTCAGGTACAAAACTGTGTCTAAAAGGGTAGCCATCAATCTTGAGCTTGAAAACGTACCCTCACAGAAACACAAACACACACAAACCCCAGACCATTGCAACCTTAAGGCTCAGAGACACTGCTGTCGCCTGCCGTCCTCCTTCTTAACACATTTCCAAGTGTCCCTTTCGGCTGCGGCGGAACACACCAACACTCGTAGCTACGCAAATAGCAACCCCTTGTCTGCATTGTTTGCTCGCCTAATATTGACTCTCCCGCCTGACACGACTACCACAGAGCTTGGCTGTTCACAATGATGTTTGACTAGCATTAGAACAGGGCTGCGATTGCACTGAGCACAACGGGGAAAACCATCCGTCAGCCAGACGCAGGCGAAGGCCAGAATGGAACTTGGGGAGGAGAGAATTGGGGGGGGGGGCAGATGGGGTCAAGTGCAGCTGTTGAGCCGAACGCAGGCGCAGACTCTGCCCCGCTCGTTCAAACACGCCAAGGTCATCGTGCGCCCCTGCGATTGCAAACAATCCTCAGTGGATCCGTGAAGGCCAGGGGAGCTGCAGGCCGGTTAGCGGGAGGGCCTTTGGGTCTAGGGTTTGTTCTGTGGGGCTGAGGGCAAGTTGCCCTCCGGTGGTTTGCCCCCTAAACGCGCCTTCAAGGCCATGTTTCCAACCACACCTGCGCGCTCTCTCTCTCTCTCTCTCTCTCTCTCACGCGCACACACACACACAAACATGTGCACAGAAATGCATGCTCTGGGTTGGGGAATACCTGGAGGTTTGGGCGGTGGAGCCCAGGGAGGGACCTTTCAATGTTCCCTCTAAGCTGAGTTCACGTGAGCTAGCTCACAGTTTCTTAGCCTCCGGCTCACAGATTTTTGTCTCCACTCAGGGAGGAGGGCTCCAGAGCAAACTAATTGATGCAGTAGCCAAACTGCTCGCTCACAACTTTAATGACAGCAGCTCACAAAGCAGAACTTTTGCTCACAAGACTCCACAGCTTAGAGGGAGCCTTGCTCAGGAGAGAGTCCAAGGCCATAGAATCCAACCTCCAACGCAGCCATTTTCTCCAGGGGAACTGGTCTCTGTCGTCTGGAGGTCAATTGCAATGGCATAGATTCAGGTGGGGTCGCCATGTTGGTTCTGAAGCCGCAGAACAACGTTCGAGTCCAGGGGTACCTGTAAGAACAACAGAGTTTCATTCTGGGGATACGCTTATGCCAAGAATTGAACTTTGTTCGCCTCACAGGTGCCCCTGGACTCAAACCTTGTCCTCTTGCAGCTGTGTTTGCTATGTCAGCGGGCAAATCCCAGGCGGGAAAGAAATCCTGCCATGACAGGCCCCCCCCCAACCTTCTAATACTGAACACACTGAGTAAAAGAATAAGGTCTCGCAGGGCTTTTTTTGTAGAAAAAGTCCAGCAGGAACTCATTAGCATAACAGGCCACACCCAACAGCAGAAATTCATTTGCTTATTAGGACACACCCCTGACAGCGCAGCTTATTAGCATATTAGGCCACACACCCATGTTACCAGAAGTGTGGCCATCCAGACACACCCACCTGTTGCTTCTTATTCTGTTTACCTTGTTTGTTGTCAAAATCCAGGGCTTTTTTTGTAGCAGGAACTCCTTTGCATGTTAGGCCACACACCCCTAATGTAGCCAATCTTAAAGAGTTCCTGCTGTTGGGTGTGGCCTGTTATGCTAATGAGTTCCTGCTGGGCGTGGCCAACTCGGGAGCCAGCCGGAACTCCGTTCCTGCCCAAAAATAGCCCTGGGTTTCGGCAACAAAGGTTACAAACATGGTGGTGGTGGGGGGTCTCAGTCCAATCCGAGCCTTCCCCATAGCCTCGTTCAAGAGCCTTCCACAAAACCTCACTCACACCATAAAGTAACACAAAGTACGTAGGCCTTGGGCCAAGGTAAATCACCCCCCCCCATCCCCTACCTGTGCCTTTGACTCCTTTTTGCCTGAATACAGAAGTTGGCATCGATCTCCCATCCACAGAGTCCAACCTCCATTTTGCTTGTTTCAGACCCGCTTTCCAACCTGCAAGAGCCAAACTGAATTTCATTCCGTTCTTAAACGTCAGCCATCCCTCCTGGTTTTGTGTCACCTACAAATCTGATAAGAGTTTTCCTCCTCCGCAGAGAGACCTGTAGCACCCCACTTGACATCTCCCCCTTGAACGCCTCTGATGAACACACAAACATTAGTTAATTAATCTATATAGCCTTTTCTGCTGCCCACTCAGTTTTCAAAACACCCGTCTCATGCACTGTGGTCAGGCCTTCCTTGCACAGGGAGAAATCTACAAGACTGGAGATAGGCGCAGCAGCGGAGGAGGATCTAGAGGGGGCTGCCAGTCTCATGGTGGTGCAAACCAAGGAGAGAGACCACAGGATGGAAGCTGAAAGGAAGCAAAACAACTGTGATGTATTATGCCAAAAAACTCTTCATAGACTTCTAAGTTCTTTTCCAATATCCAGTTCACTAGGAGCAATTCAGACGCATCGACACCACAACGGACCGTGCGTATTGCCTCTTGTTTCGTATACAAACTTTATCAGAGTGGGTAGCATTACTGCGAGAAAGGACTCATGGGGTTTTTCAAGGAAAAAGATGTTCAGAGATGGGTTTGCCTTTGCCTGCCTCTGAGGCTTTTCTGCTTTGCCTGCCCCTGGGCTTCCTTGCTGATCTCCCATTAGGGCTCCCAAATCCCCCCGGGGGGCGGATTTCCCCCCCGCTTTGCAGGCCCGATTTCCGCCCCCGCGGAATCGGGCCCCGGGGGAAACCCCACCCCCGCGTGCACGTCACAGGGAAGTGACGTCATGACGCCGGGCACGCTGGGGGCGGGGCACAGCCATTTGAGGGGAAAACCCAAAATCCCCCGCCGGCAGGTAAGTCCGGACTTGGCAACCCCATCTCCCATCCAAGGACGAGGCAGGGACGACTCTGCTTAGCTTCCCAGATACGATGAGACCGGGCTAGCCGGCATTATGATGGGCTCTAATCAGGGGTCATTTCGTAGAAAACGAGGTGCAGGAGCTCATTAGCATAACTCATTTGCATAGGCCACACCCCCTGACATCACCGGAAGTGTGTCAGAAGGCAACACCCACCGCTCAGGCTCCACTGGACTCTTTTGGATTGCTATATTGGGGGGGGGTACGTGCAGATGTGCCCTCACAGAGGAGGGAGAGCTTGTACCTGAAGGCAGGCCGGGTGGGGGGGGCTCTGCAACTTACCTGGCTGCTTCTAGCTCCTCGTGGCCCGACTGAGGGCTGCTTGGAGCAGGGGGCGGGGCTTGTTGCATGTGCCTGCCTCCTGGGCTCCTTACTGCCGGAGTTCCGCTCCTGTGCGCTCCCGCAGGAAATGACCCCTGGTTCTAATAAGAGGTATGAGGTGGACTTAGCTTTGTTCCAAGCCGCCCACGTTTTCCATTTGCTTTTGTTTTACATCAGCTGCTTACCCATCAATCAATCAATCAACGAAAATCATGGTTTCTTCTCACTCCCAGGGCTCTTGGTCTCCTCCCAAAACAGCCAGGCCAGTCACCCCTCAGCCTATATTGTCAACGGGATGTCCTTTCCCATGGTTTAACTCTATGGGGCTGCTGCACTTTCAGGGCCTGCAACTCTGTGGGTCTTTCCTGCATCCGCTCTGTTTGCAAGTTTTGTCTGGCTACAACGGAATGCTGGGACAGACCTATTTTAATCCACAGGCAAACTGTGAACAGCAAACGCCAGTGGGGCTGGCCTGTCATAAGCTCAGAGCAGGCGTTCCAGAGCCCACAGCACGGACAGCTTCTTCCCATTGCCTGATTTTCGACTGTTAGAATTTGGAACCGTTAGAACAGCAGGGGATGCTGAGAAATCATTTGGCGGTATCGGGAGGGCGGTATCGGGAGGTAGAGGACAGCACGTCTCTCTAAGTCGAAATGGGTTTTGACGACAGAAATGCCCTCCTTTCTGTAGCTGCAGACACAAACTTCTGACTGGGCGATTCAGAAATCTGCCTCTGAACAGAGGAACCAGTGCCCAGGGAGAAGCGGGCAGAACAAGGGCCCAAAGCCATCTGCTTTCCTCTAGTGCCATCTTGTGTTGGAATTCCTGAACTGAAACATCGGCGAGAGGTCCACATGGCGAACCAGAGTGGAGGACTCTCCCAGTTACCCCGGGGTATGCTCTCACTTGACCCTTCATAACAGTGAAGTTTGGTGTAGTAGTTAGGAGCGCAGACTCTAAACTGGGAGAACCGGGTTTGATTCTCCACTCCTCCACATGCAGCTGCTGGCGTGACCTTGGGTCAGTCACAAGTTCTTTCGGAGCTGTTCTCTCAGGAGCAGCCCTCGGGAGCGCTCTCTCAGCCCCACCCACCTCACAGGGTGTCTGTTGTGGGGAGGGGAAGGGAAAGGAGATTGTAAGCCCCTCTGAGACTCCAGGTGAAGGGTGGGGTATAAATCCAATCAAGCCAGTTTGGTGGAGTGGTTAAGAGCGTGGAGTCCAATCTGGGAGAACCGGGTTTGATTCCCCACTCCTCCACTCGCAGCTCCTGGTGTGACCTTGGGTCAGTCACAAGTTCTTTTGGAGCTGTTCTCTCAAGGGCAGTCCTCAAAGGAGCTCTCACAGCCCCGCCTACCTCACAGGGTGTCTGTTGTGGGGAGGGGAAGGGAAAGGAGATTGTAAGCAATGCTCCCTCTAAGCTGTGGAGCCTTGTGAGCAAAAATTCTGCTTTGTGAGCTACTGGCATTAAAGTTGTGAGCAAGCGATTTGGCTACTGCATACATTGGTTTGCTCTGGAGCCCTCCTTCCTGAGCTAGGACAAAAATCTGTGAGTTGGAGGCTAAAAAACTGTGAGCTAGCTTGCAATAACTCAGCTTAGAGGGATTGTAAGGCGCTGTGAGACTCCTTCAGGTAGCAAGGTAAAGTAAAGGTAAAGGGTCCCTTACTCGAAAGCCAGTTGAATCCGACTCTAGGGTTGCGGTACTCATCTCCGTTTCAAAGCCGAAGAGCCAGCACTGTCCGAAGACGTTTCCGTGGTCATGTGGCCGGCATGACTGAACACCAAGGTGCACGGAACGCTGTTACCTTCCCACTGAAGTGGTCCCTATTTATCTACTTGCAATTTCTTGCTTTCGAACTGCTAGGTTGGCAGGAGTCAGGTAGCAAAGGGTGGGGTATAAATCCAATCTCCTCTTCTTCTAAATGAAGTATATACTAAATAAGTAACCACCCTGCTCTCCTACCTCATGTTCCCCTAGCTGTCTTTTAGCCTCAGGTCGTTCCCTTCACTGGCAGTGATATCAGGGAGAGTTTCAAGGCCACTAGATCCTGTACAAATACAACCTCAAACCCTGAGGTCAAGCAGGGATGGGGGGGGAAGGGCCTGCCTTAACCGCAGGGAGATTTTGCCTTTTTAAAAATAACAAAGGTCTGTGTTAACACAGAAGAGCGGCTCTGTTTATGCAAATCCCCCCCCCAACCCCCAATTTTCTTTTCAAAGGTGGCACAATAAAGATGCTGTTTGTTTTCTGTTCCTTCCATCAGCTAGAATTATACATTCTGTTTGCTCAGAGTTAACCATTAAGCAAAGAGCATTCTCTGCACAAAATGTCTGTTCAGATGCCTTTAAAAAAAAAAAAAGACAAACGCCAAGAGTCAGTAAAAGTTTGGGCAAATATTGGCTTTGGCAGGGCTTGCCGTTTGTATCAGGAAACTGATTGGTGTTATTGATTGACAGATGGGACGCAGTGTTTGGACAGGCAGTCCCTCGACTGGATTCTCCGAGGTGTTTCGGCAAACAGGTCTAATGCAGGGCAAACAGAGGGATCGCACGAAGTGCCGGCTTGTGTGAGCACAGCAAGCGGAAGGGCTGTGCAAACAGCTGGGGAGGAATGCGGCCAACCTTCCCCTAACCTTTGATGTAGCCACTGGTCCTTGAGGAGGCGCCCCCCCCCCCCAAACATGGAGTTTGAACAGGGAGCAGCGGACTTGGAGAGGGATCAGCGACATGCAAACAGCCGGAAAGTGCAAATGTTATCCGTTGCGAGCAGGCCGCGGAGGGCTCTCTGGAATTTATCTTCCGTCAAAGCCCCAAAGCCATCAGGCAACAAGAATTAACGGCAGCTTTTTGGAAGGCGGCTGCTGGATTCTCCTGTG